CCCCCTGGTTATGGGCCTGTAGTATATCCAAAACCTATGCCTAACTAAAGAATAAAAATTTCCACAGTATGTAACTCAAGTTCAAATAACACTTTTTATTACTCGTGCAGCTCAATCAGATATTACATTCATTTTAAACAGCCTATCGGCATTAGTTATTATATGCATGGTGACATCAATGTATTTTTTTAATCAGATCAGACAGCGACATTGTCTCAGAAGTTTTGTAGACGTGCTTTTATTTTGGTTGATAACATTTGAACCTCCTGAATTCTGCAATAAGAGATTTTTTAGTCGAGTCAGTCGAGACGACCCGAGTGGAGTTTAATGCAAGTGTTTCGTACGGGAAAAATCGCGTCGAGGACAGTCTTAAGCCGTCGTGAATATTAAACATGTTTGATATTCTACGACGCGACTGCCCCAGATGCAAACCATCGCGTCACACAGACCCGACATGACAACAAATCGGTCGGGCTGCGTCGTACGACGCTGTCTAAGTTGGTCTTTACTCTAAAGTGTATATTCAATATGTCCAAAATGTATATCCGATTTGATATTAACAAGTTGCATTGCTCCTAATACCGGTGGCTACATGTGTTTCTCGAATAACAGATATCAAAACAGTAACAACCCCCACCCATACGATATTATGGATAATAATTATGGTTGAGTATTTTTCAGCTTTTAATCTTAACCATTGCAATTGAGGAATAGTCTTCTAGGGATTTTTCTAATCCCTACCTGACCAAAGCCAAATATAATAAATAGAAGAAGATAGAACAGTTCGCGATGAGAGCAATTTCCTCCATCCGAGCGGCGGCGCTATATCTTATAATCGGGTTTGTTTGTTTCCGGTAGTTTCTCTACTCTAATACTCTGTCAAATTCAATTTTTACTCAACTCCGCGGGAGGGCGGAAGTCCCATCAATTTTAATGCAAACTACGTAAGAGCTCTGCATTCTTCTGCTTATTTTAAGTTCTTTGCCAAAAACCTACCTGATGATTCACAAATAATAGAATCTACCAGATGAGCTGTGAAGCAATCGATGTCCACAATGTTTACAATATTATTTAACAATAATTGATCCTCGACCGTAATTGCTGCGCATCCATTGCTTATGTCATCCTGTTGGTTATGTACATTGAAGTTTCTATCTTGGAAGGGTGTAAGAATATTGAGCACGTTTCTTGTCAACTGTTCGTATTCCTCAATACTGTTTATTACGGTGATTGAGCCACCTAGCTGTTTGCATTCACGTTGAGTATCAATACATGATTGCATTGTTCCGTTCATTTTTATATATTTGTAGCAGTTTGGCGATGTGTATACATCATCTACTGTAAACAATACATAAAAATAAGAATCATTGTTATAATGATATATATAAATATTATTTCCTCAGACTTTCGTAACATAACAACTTTTTGTAAATAATTAGCGATTCACTTACTTATAATGAGAATAAAATATTTAGGACAATATAAATTGTGTTTACAATACTGTATTGAGATAATTTGTTATTCATACCCGAGGAATCATGAATGACTCCGTTTGAATCTTGATATTCCCAACCATTAATACTGGGGTATATAAGGTAACATGACTTCACACCTGAACAAGTAAATCCACTGTAATAATAATAATACAAATAATAATGATAATGATAACAATACAAACATATATACATTTTACTGGGAGAAAAATGGAGTTACCAACATTTTTTGCCACAGTTCTTAAATATTCAAAAATCTGTATCTCATTCACCATTTCCAAGTTTTTCGTCAAACACCCTTGTCGTTTTTTCCCTCCGTAGCCTGGCTTTAAAGCCGATTGATGAAGAGTGTTGTTAAAAGTTTACAATTAGATACATTTAGACATAACCTGACCATGTACTTATTTAAGGTGCACAGACTTTTCAAAGTAAATGTTTTACTATTCTGTGAAGCTGCATATAAGCAGGGCTGTATATAGTACAAAGAACTCTGTATTATTCCGCTTACATTTTCTGGGTTTTCCCACATGCCTAAATGTCTTATTCGAGATTCAGCTTGTTGAAATTAATGCACGGAAGAAGGTGGATATTAGTCACATGCGACATCATAGTGCTATGTAAAAATTGTGACGTCAGACACGTTAAAAATAATGCAAATGAAAATCTTTACTCGCCAAGACATCGGCAAAATAAGCAGATAGAAAGAAATAGAGGAATCATAAGGAGGGCTACATTCGAATGTGGGTGGGACAGAGACTGAAGTAAGATAGTATATGCAATATGGAACATGATATTATTGTCTGAAGTGAGCGTGTTGAGTGACGTTAAAAACTATAATTATCAGTTTTGGGGTGAGTGCGTCGGATTGCATAATATTGCGGTTTTGGTATAACGGTAAAAGTTCAGGCCCGTAACCGGAAAAGGGTGGGGTGGTTTATGGTTCGGGCAAACACCGCTCTTTTCTGGCGAACCCCCTCCCCCCTTAAAAATAATGCAAATGAAAATCTTTACTCGCCAAGACATCGGCAAAATAAGCAGATAGAAAGAAATAGAGGAATCATAAGGAGGGCTACATTCGAATGTGGGTGGGACAGAGACTGAAGTAAGAAGTATATGCAATATGGAACATGATATTATTGTCTGAAGTGAGCGTGTTGAGTGACGTTAAAAACTATAATTATCAGTTTTGGGGTGAGTGCGTCAGATTGCATAATATTGCGGTTTTGGTATAACGGTAAAAGTTCAGGCCCGTAACCGGAAAAATGGTGGGGTGGTTTATGGTTCGGGCAAACACCGCTCTTTTCTGGCGAACCCCCCTCACCTCGAATTTCCAGAACGAGTCCTACAACCCAACTAATGCACTGCAGACCCACCCAGACTCAGACGGAATGTTTTGCTGCGGATCTGTTTCGAACATAACTGCTTTTATTGCATTATTTAGTCTCACAAAACATAAAAATCCTTCGGGGCTTTCGCTGACCCCACCGGGGCTTCGACCCTGGGCCTCACGTATCAAATCACCAGTTTTCGTATCTACATTGTTTTTTTTTTCTTTGGCAAAGTCTTTTATTTCTATAATCACATGTTGCATAATAGGCTGTAGTAACGTATATTAAAATTCCACACATCATCTTCAACATAAATTAGGTTCACCTTTGGTAAAATAACACCATCGAACAGTTATAAGGTTCTCAAAAATATAATATGATAATGTAGATTGTTTCTGGTCATTGTCAGAAAAGATTTTTCAGAGTCCGTTCAATTCTTCACTCTATCTTTTAAGCAAGGTAGATATCACAATGCATCAGCCTAAGATACAAATTAGGATCATAACATTTTGCTTTAGTATTTAGTATTACTATTAATATTGCTCATTTAAACCGGGATAAATATAATACATTGTAATACTTAAATAACGTTTTTCAACGTGAGCAATTTTTTCAAATCCAAATATTATAGAAACATTTCCCAAAAGAACAAGTAACTTCATAGCGTAATGTATCAATACTTTTCTTTTCTTGCAAATGCCATAATTTTTGGTGTTGAATGTTGAAAAATCACTCATCGAGCAGACAAACTTTATTCCAGTTTGCATAACAAAATAAAATACTTGTTAATCTTAAAGCTATCATATTTTTAGTTTATTCCCCAACAAGAAATATATTCCCTTTGATTTTCAAATGATAATCAGTTTATTTAATAATGTAATAAATACAAGACAAGCGGCAACATGACAACTTCCAGCCCAGTTTTAAACGAATTAGTGTTACGCCTAATATGCCTATAAATACATTGATATACATTACAGTACTTACGAAGGGCATATTGCACCAACCATTGTCATTTTCCAAGCAAAAACCAAAATACATTTCGCCCACTGCTGCATTCTGCGTCACTAATGTGGAATTTAGACAGATCTTATAAATTCAAAATTTGTCCCGGACTGTTGTATGCCGTGTCGCAGCGTGGAATAATACACGATGGTGTCCTGGTAATTTTTGATAAGAGGTATGTTTCTGCTAATACACATTCATGTAATATTAGAAGTTGATTGGCCTAGGCCTACTGTTTCATTTAAGTTTCTTCCGCAATTAGTTTTAGATCACGCGTTTGTTGTAAGAGGCCTACCTAAATTACATCGTCATTTCAGTATCGTTTTCGCTTTTATTGTTTAATTTATTATCTTTATTGTAAAGTGATGTACTACAGGACTCGTGATCCAATGTTTAAATGTATTCGTGCGTATGTTCCTTCATGTGACGGAAGGCCAATATCGTCGACAGAGTCATATTCAACTGGAGGTCCAGCCATTGTGACGTCATGGTTAAAGACTACGGTACCTGATGAACAAGTCTGATGAGCACCAACTTTATTTTGTATTTGTAATTCCTTTACCTCTTTTATTCCGTTTGCTTCTGTCAACGCCTGCAAAAAATGTCAACAAGCCTATACCATTAAGATGAGATAACAAGTAATTTAAGATACTTTTTGACATACTTTTTTATTGACAGTGTATGATGCATTGCCACTGATTTAATATACATTTTCTTCTTTTACTGTCCCTATTTTGAATTTGTATTACAGGTGTATTATAGGCCTATTTTATCACACGAGGAAGTCTAAGTGACGATATCATAAGCTGCTGTGGTTTCTTCAATATACAACAACTGCAAACCACGATTATGTGTTTCTTTAGCTGTAATTCATTGGCGATGCACCCTTACACTTTTACCATCACATCCACCTACCCACATACTCCATCCGCATTCCTTACCCATAGAAGCAGAGTGCTCAATCTTTGTTAATTATATATAATTAATATAGGCATACATATATATATTATATATATATTATATATATATTTATTATATATATATATATACATACATACATGCATATATGAAACTCATCGTTTACCGTCATAACCACGAAGACGTTGTGGTGATCCAAGTGCCAATAGCATTTGAGTTCCTTTTATTTTTTATCTATAAAACCCCTTCTTCTGTGAATTATTTTCAGCTTGTTAGATCTCGAATGAGATACTTGTATACGATTATATATTTACATTTATTTGTATATACAATACTGATACTTAAGCCTACTGTACCCATTGAAGAAAGCAAAACGAAACATCATTTCAAATACCGATGGGTACAATTTTTTCCTCAAAAAGTTAATTTACAAAAACAGCTTACTAGAATTCTGGTATACCACTTCAATTGAGGTTTCGTGGTATTCGATTTCAACTGCAGTATCGTTATAGTCATCTTCAACTGTGGTATCATTATATTCGACTTCAACTGCAGTACCATGGTGTTCGACTTCATCTATTATTACCTCGTACACAGCTTCATTTGTAGTAGTACCCTGCTTCAGATCTCTACCGTTATTCTTTTGTAAGGATGCGTCTTCAACATTGTATTCAACTTTGTCTACAGGTTCGTCATTTCTGTACAAATAAATTAGACCTGGTAATAAAACATTTTGCACTAATGGTAAATAACGTAATTATTTACAAACATTGCAGTCTGTGATTTTACAGATTTAGTACTTGGTATTGTTGTATTTTATTCACTTATTTATTTTTTTATTTATAGCACCCTTCTTTTTTATAATGATGTACGGCAGTGGATGTTTTATTTTGAGCCTATTAAGTTCCCTTCATGAACTTGAACGGTTGATAAAGTTTTATTTTGAATATATCACTTACATGAATGTTTATAACGATTATTGACGGTATTGTATTTTTATTCACTTTTTATTTTGTTTATTTATAGCACCTTTCTTTTTTATTATGATGTACGGCACTAAATGTTTTATTTCGAGCCTATTAAGTTCCCTTCATTAACTTGAACGGTTGATAAAGTTTTATTTTGAATATATCATTTACCTGAACGTTTGTTTAATTGTTAAAGATAACATGTTTTTCTTATATAGGCCTACTGCTTTTCATAAGACCAAAGTAGTAGTAGTGTTCAATCTTTAACTAAAAATAAACAGTGATAATTATGACGGTAAATCCTAGCATTACTGTACTAAATGTATTTTGATTTAATAGTATAAAATCATTAGTAATTCATAAGAATACATAAAGAATAATACTTTAGTTTTATATTGAAATATCGATAACATCTTATGTATAGGCCTTGTACTAACATTATTACCCTGGTTGTTTTCTTCGCGTTCTGCGTCTGATAAACAGGAAACTTAGTAAAATGATTAGGATTGTGATCACAACAATTGGCGCTGCAATAGCAACCAAGTTGGTACTCTCTTCTGTTACCGCTTCTGTTGTCGGAAGTTCCGGTGTTGGATTAGTTTGCATTGCTCTGTTTGTTGACACGTTTAGACATATTTCCACATTCACGTCTTTAAAATGTAATATAAAAGCAAAAAAAAAACAAAAACAAAAACAAAAAAAAAACATAAATCATTTCGATAAAAATATGGATGAAGGAAGTCCAAAAACAATGTGTAATTTCTTAGGAATTGTACTTGGTTAAATGTCCCAAAATTAGCATATAAAATTGCGATTAACAAAATGTATTCATCCGTTACTTAAGAACGAGAGATTAGATATTGGGCTGGAAATTATACTTTTCGAGCTTAATTCTAGGAAGAAAACAGAGAAGCGTTGTAATTGACGCTCTTTGACCGATTTAAGGCTAAAAGATCTGCTGTTCTATCGAGGTTTTGTGACAAATTAGTGTGATATGACATTATCATGTCCTAAATTCCACTCATACTAAGCAGTATCATTGTCCATTTATAGATCTTTTCCAAAGATCAAACCTAATATAATCAAACAGTATAATTTGGGAGGTACGGGTTGTCACTGCGCCACCCCACGACCAAGTAGGCCTACTTACCCGTGGACTCGCAAACAATAGCGTCTATCAAATGACTTGTAGTGCATTCAGTGTTTGCAATGTCTACATCGTTGAACACTCCATCCTCTATTTTAATTTTTGCGCACCCTTTACTTATTCCATCTAGTTGGAGGTTTTGTACATACACACTGAATGTACTATCTTCTCCGAAATTTAGAATTTGAAGCACGTTTTCTGTCAACTGCTCGTATTCCTCAATGCTGTTTATTACTGTGGTGCCGCCGCCCGCTTTTTCGCATTCATTCTGAGCATCAATACACGCTCCGTTTTTGTTGCTTAATTTTATATATTTATAGCAGCTCGGTGAGTCATAAACATTATCATCTGTAAAAATCAATGTAATATTGGGAATAATTATTAGTTATTTCTTGTAATATTTATTCATGTAATATCTTTGTACCTGATAATTTGTTATCAAATGTGTTTTTAAGTGTGTTTTTGAATTGTATCAGTTTTATTGTTTGGTCTTTTTGGTGTAACATTTTTAAAATCATATATATATATATATATATATATATAATTATTGTGTTTACTAAACAGGCAGAAACCTGAAATAATTTCATGTTTCGTTCATACTTGCATTAATAATGTCTCCGTTTGGATCTTGGTATTCCCAACCATTGTTACTTGTAGGATATATTAGGTAACACGACGAACTTGAGCAAGTAAATCCACTGAAAATTGAAAACAATATTTTAACAACTGTTTATTGAGTACAGCATGTTCTTTTAAATTATAAAATTAGCAGGTCGAAACATAATTGAACGCCTCTATCTCTCCCATTAGTTCCACCACAATTTTTTCCTTTACCGGTATAGGCCTATTTCAAATAGTTTTTATCTTGTAAGCTTATAATTCCTTCGAAAATACATTTACATATGAATATGATTTGGTACAGTTTCTTGAAGCGGCAGTGTTAAGTAGGCTCTCCAAAGAACGCAATGGAGGATACCGGATAGATTAACATTTGTATAGCAGCTATTCAGTGGTTGTAATGGTTATTGCGTTATATTAATATTTAGTAAGCTTTCAATCAAATATGATATTGAGAGCAATTTTTATTTCTCGTCAATTATTGAATGCAAGATCATACATATTGTACAGGTCTCCCTCCAATTAAAGACCTCTTTTGGGACCGGGTTTTTCATGGTTTTTTAGCAGCCCATACCCATCTTATTTTTTTGTCAAAATACATTTTAACTTCTTGATATAGAAAAGTTACAAAACAACGACAGGCCTAAACGATAATTAAATCAAACTACTGCTTTTAAAATACATTATCCGTGACGGGATGTTTTGCAGAAAGCTAATTCGCCAACAGACGATTCGCCGGCAAAAAATTGGCCGAATACACTTTCGCCAACAACACGTTCGGGACACGATGGGTTTTATGATCAGGATTGTATATTTTGATTGAAGTCATTATGATAAACTTGCTGTGTTGTATATCACATTTCTTTGAAGTTTAATCTCCATTTATATTGGTGTAGTAGGACTCAGTGTCATCAGAATTGGAAATAGGCCTAGGCCTACATGCCCTAGGCATACAACCATCATTTCGTAAATTGGCGTATCCAGACGATTGGTCAAATTCAAAACCAACAGCGCCACTACGGAAAGTTGCCCGTGAAGCAGAGTGATCAGAGTTACTGTCGATTGGGCTAAAAGTGGTTGACTCGTATAGATCGTTGATTTGTGTAACAGCAGACTGCTTGAAGGCTCTTGCATTACCACCAGTCTCTACAACAGTAATACATTATACACTGTCAAATAAGATTTAAATGGATTATATTATATTGTTTTTATGGATGCAAAACCTTATGGTTGTGTATCAGTACCTGAATAATATACAAAGAAATTGATTGATTTCAATGAGATGCAAGTTGAAAAAATTTTTACTCTGCTCTGCTAAACGATTTAGCAGAGTTACAGGCTTTTTACTAAAATTAATTTCTAATGTAATTTTTTGAAGATTTTTTACTATCATATACGGTAAACTCCTCAGGCTGTTAGAAATAAAGTTCGAGAGCCTTATTGCTTCAATATAAGCATAATTTTTAAAAAGAGTTGTTCGAAGGACACTCTCTTATAATATTATTATCCCTGGAGTTAATGGTAAAGTGAGTTGTCATGCCAAAAGGAAATCCTCTCCCCCACCCCACCACCCCCTCCGGAAAAACGTAAAGCAAACAAGGCTTTGGAAACTTTTCTCCTAACAGCCAGAGGATAAAGATGGTATATGACGATCGATATTAAGTCTGCAGAATGACTCCATGAGTTTTGGTTCCGGAAAAATTGGGATTGGAGTATTTGAAATGGTGTAGATGGGTGGAGAAATGTCTACTCGGGAGCACCTAGATAAGACACTTAGAAGGGTTTAGAGGCAAACCAGGGATATATGCAAATCATACAGGAAACCTGTATAATGTCTGTTTTATTGACGGGGCTCGTTAATATAATATTGTTATTCAATGAAAAAAAAAACTAATAATCTACAACATATGGCTACATTAAAGTATAGATAATATTAAACTTATGATAAATGGAAATGAGCTTTATGGATCATAATACTTTTCCAACAAAATATCTGTTATTACATTTGAAAAGTTTTTTTTTTCATTACCAAGATTATTGTGCATAGTGCATTGTCTAAAATGATATTGTTTATTAATTTTCCTTAAAACTCAAACAATCTAAAGTTTTTAAAACAATATAGGCTAAAACCTGTTTTCCACTAGGCGAATTTATTCGTGCGAATCGACAGAGTTGGTTCGCTTCCTGAACTCTAATTGGTTGCTCATTTTTTCGCTTTGCAAAAACTCCGATATAGATGTGAATGCGCATGCGCATAAGCCGACGCCTTTGATTCGCGCAAAAATTTCGCCAAGAGGAAAACAGGCTTAATAGTGTATTAGTGTTGTACACGATGAAGAGATAGCAAAGTCGACTTACCTCCTTTAGAACTTGATTTTGCAATTTTTAATCTGGAGAGATTTAAAACAAAGCATATTTTCTTCAACTTCAATTAGGAACTGAATGAACATATCGTGTTGTTGATATAGATCTATTATTATTTATTGTGGCTGAGTGCATACAAAAAGACAATATTCAGTGAAATATATTTACATAGTGTGAAAACGTTGAAGCAAGATGTAATTTTCAACCAAAATTAAATTAAAATCAATGTAAACGACAGTAATAGAAATAGGGATCAATGCGCTCTTCTCCAAAAGCTGAAAAGAGCATCAGAGGGTATTGATAATTATTATAACGCTCTGTCCAGACAAGGCCTATCAAATTTTATTTGACAAAAACATGTGAGATGCCTAATTATGGTCATGATGACATCACATCATGACCATATATAGGCATATCATGACTTTATTTGGGCGTACAACATTTTTTTTTTGTCAATTAACAGTCGATAGTCTGGACAGGTCTTAATGTATCATAAACAAGATTTAATTACCTGTTATTAAATTTTTTACGTCTCTTTCGTCTGCAATGCAAAGCCAAAGCAGCTACAACAAGAAAACAGCAAACAGAGGCAAGGGCTGTGGCCAAGAAATTAATTACCGGTTTCGTTTTTGTTTTCGATGCTGATTGAAATATTGTGGCTTTGTTTGAATCCACAGGATGATGTGGGTTCGATACTATTTGAAATGTCTGCGTTGGAGTAGTTTCGATAGTTCCATATGGCGTTGGCACCGTATACGTAAAAGCTTGATCAATCAATGTATCACGATGACGTGAGTTCGATGTTTTTTGAAATGTCTGCTTTGAAGTAGTTTCGATAGTTCCGTATGGCGTTGGCATCGTATACGTAAAAGCTTGATCGATCAATATATCTTTATCAAAGCAATTTAAATATGTCAAAAATGTGTATTCATGATTACGGTTATTTGTATCTTTAAGTTAGCATAGTCTTATTCAGTCATTCTATATGTATTTTATAATGACTATTCATCACAAAAAACAGATCGTGTTTAGCTCCTCAACCCTTACGCTAAGTCTATTGTACAAGGAGTACGGTATGCTTTCGGGTCGTAAGAAAAATACTGACGTTTCGACAGTATTTAGTCTAAACCCATTGGGATTGAAAGGTGTGCAATATCAGAATCCATGAGCTTCTACTTTTTTTATATCAATATCTATAGGCCCTATATAAATTTTATTGTTAATCCATTGTGTAAGTGGTGGGATATCCACTGTTAGGTGTAAATTGAAATAAAAAATAAAATAAAATAAAAATAGCACAGAATTGATATTTCAAAATTATCAGTGTTACACAGTACACATAATGTGAGTAGAGTAACACTAATCCTATTCATATGCAATGTGTCTCTCAACCTAGAGGTCGGGGGTTGGATGGATGGATTTATTCGGTGTAAAACCAAGGATAACACACGAAAGTGGTGGTGATTGGGCAGTACACCGGGAGACAATCTCCTACTCTTTTCCGAAGAGTATACTGCGTTTTTTAACGTGCACATGGGCCATAATGCACACGGGACCAAGGCTTAATTAAACGTCTCATCCGAAAGACGGTGCGCTATCATAACTTGCACTTCAGCCCTCCAGCAAAAGCACAAGGAGAGCAGCGATGGGAATTGAACCGGGGACCGGAGATCTCCACGGTTCAGCGCACACACAGTGGTTCGAAACTTCACTGTGCATTTCGCTTGTGTTCTTGGACACGGCACTTTACTTTAAGCGTTTGTTTATTTCCACCAAGGAGTATGAGTACCCGGTTCACTATTAGAGAGGAAAAGGAACTGCCCACCCTAGCACACAATGCCGAGACTTAGTACGATGGGCTAACAGCTCATTTCCCTACGTTCTGTAATGAATACGGGACTATCTTTACACTAAGCCTATTACACATGGTGTTATGTGTTAGTGATTAAAAAACATGCGTTTCGTGAGGGAAATACTGTATATCCCCCTAACAATGTGAGTAAAACAATAAATCATTTGTTAGTCGTTCGTTATAGTGTTTATTATCAATAAAAAAAATATATATCCCTGCACGATTCTTATAGTATGCCGCTACTCTCTTAATGTGAAAGAGTGAATTTTCACTCGAAAAGAATGCCTACCGGGACCACTTCAATTTCACTCTTTCTACAGTGAAAATTCACTCTTAAATGAATAGTATTCTTAAAATATTGAAAAATTAATAAAATCCACTCTGATAAGAGTAAAATCTCACTCTTTTTTATTTCACTCATTCAGGAGTGGTCCCTGTAGTCACTCTTTCACTCTTTTTTTTTCACTCGTTTCCATTTAGAGATTAAGCAGGCCCTATATCTATCTTGTTTTTGAACAATTTATCAGCAACCAACAAATGAGAATCAGAAATAGGCCTATGCAAAATATCAAAATTATTACCTGTAGGCTTACTTTCCTCGCACATAAGTCCATCAATTGAACTACTGATATTATTAATTTTTGGGGTAATTTCATCATCATTCCAGAATATGCCATCTTCAACTTTTATGTAAGCACATTGATTTGGTATTTTTTCCATTTGGTTAGTTTTGTGAACATTCATGGTGAGTGCATCTGGAGCAAACATCAAGTTAAGAAGTGTGTCGACAAGCCATTTATAGTGTGCCTCGTTTATGATTACTGGGATATCACCGCCAAGACTTTCACATTCACTATGCACATCCAAGCATGATTTCGATTTGGAGGCAAACCTACTAAGCATATAGCAATGCGAAGAAATGGGTGGGGGTCGTCCTGAAATAAAATAGGCCTACATTTACTTTACAGATATGTGTATTTCCATCAGACAATGGACGTCACGTTACGTCACTTTTCAGCATTTCTATTAATGTTGTAATTCATTTACGGTATATAGTGATGAACCAAACAGTAGAGAATTGCAAGAGATCCGACTCTCGGGTTTTCGTTGGAACGTAATCCTAACTTCAAAAAGTACTACCATGAACTAGAGGGCGTCCTTCAAAAGGCGAGTTTCGAACTTTATTCGAATTCTAATAGGACGCCTATGTCTCGTGATGGTATCTGTTTTTTAACGTTTCATTGTGTGCATACAAAATCAGGTCAGTCGGACTTCTTGCAGTCACACTCTTTGTTAAAACTTTCAAAACATTCAACAACGTAGTAACCATGGAAGTCAGCTCATTTTGTTTATTCATTATTGAAAAAAATCTCATAACAGCGCTTTACAACGTATACGTCCTCATAATTCAAATACAAATAGTTTAAAATTATAATTAGGCCTATGTGCATTAATTACCAAGTTTACATGAACACAGGTAACCAAAATATTTTTTAAAGTATTGGAACACATACGATGAATGTTTAAATCATAGGTCAACATTAGTATTGAATCAGTGAAAATAGTAGGTCTATAATAACATGATAAAAATAATATCAACAGAAAAACTTCTTTTGTCGGAAGAAAACAAAATAAGGTTGTTTTTTGTCCACAGATATGATAGATATAGTTATTTTTACACAAAACAAATATTTTGGTTACTCAGCTATTATGTTGACAAAAGGAGTTATTTTTTCTACAAGACAATCATTCTGTTGACAAGAAAGTCATGTGTCTTTATCAAGGCACATATTATAATATATATATATGTATATATACCGTATATATAGTAAATATATATATTATAATATATATATATATATATATATATGAATAATAAGTCAGTAATTGTTTGATTACTTACCAGTATTCTTAGATTTACGTTTTAATGTTGCATCATTGATGAACCCCTCTCCGTCTCGGGCATATATCAGGAAACATTTACTTCGATTTGCGCATGTAAAATTTCTAAAGAGAGAGGATTTTTCAATTTAAATACATGTTATATTGTAGTGGATGATGTTAAATATATACTGCCTGTATTAAATCTGGTAAATAAACCACCACAATTGATTTGAATCATTAAATTGCAATTTAATAGTACTGTATATCTTTTGCAAAAAATTGTCGAAGATATTTTCATATTTTATGCTAAGTAAAAGCGATGAACAGCCCAAAATATAATGTACTTTTAAGCCACCGTTTGCTTTTTTGAAATTTCGTCAGTACGTATATTTTGTAGTGCTGGGTAGCCTAAGACGGAATGACCGATATTCTCGTCTAAATCTAAATTGAATAGGGTACATTTTCCATTATTTTTCGTGGACCAACTTAATATTCTGAAAATTAGTGGTAACGTACTTGATCTAAGCTGAAATTTTAATGAAACCCCCTCAAAGTCGGTTTTATCAATACGTTAATGTTCTAATCTAGGATGAGGATTTAAGGTTGCATAAACTGAGGGGAGTAATATGTTTTGAACATCATCTCTTCATTCAATAATCTTGTCAATAAATTTTAATAATGTCATCGAGTTTTCTTAAAATAAACGTTTGCGAATAAGAAAAGTCTTCGTTATTTAGCTCTGCATTAAAGATATTAGACTCGCTTCTTATCAAAATATCATTTAAGCAATATAGAATTGTATTCCTTAAATCTTTAAATTCACAAATGAGTTGCAACATAGCAAGAAGAAATTTGGGCCAACGATGTGTGCTCATTTCAGTCTCACGGGTAATTTTATGTATTGATAGGATACCATTTGAATTCCCCATACAATGCGCTTCAAAAATATAACGTGCCATCTGAAGTTGTAAGCGTTCCAATTTTGTTATACCAAAATATAAATTGTAAAATTACAATGAGACACACATCGAGACGATTTTGATTTTGCTGATATACAAACCGCTTATTAAAATCCTTTTAAATTGATTACCAATCACTTCAAAGATCTAAAAAAGAATATAGAAAGTGTATTCTGGTATAGTTGCCAAATAGAATCTGTTTCCGTTCTTACTAGGCCTATAATAAAGGTGAACAATTTCAATATCTTTTGTATAGTACTGTATACCGTAATTATAATACAATTAGGATTCTTGTTGTTTCTCATGTCATATCTTATGTCAATTACTTCAACAATTCAAAGAAAAAAGCCATCATATTGAATTATAAAAGTTCAAAAATCTGCTACCCTCATATGCAATTAAACTGTCCGTTTAATTATTATTTAGGACAAAACAATACATTACAATATAAAAAGCCAGGGCACACACTTCTTGAGCCACTGATGCGATTCCATCATACGTCATATGTATATCTACCGTCATAATACAGACATTTTTTGGTGACAGACTTCCCGGACCGGTGGCAGGCTTCCACTCCCCTCCTCCCACCACTGTGATAGCGCTATTAGCGTGTTCAGATTTTTTTTCAGATTAAAAAAAAAACGGTTTACAGAATTATTGTAAAGGGAGTGTGTCCTATTTCACTGTTGGTCTCCCCCCCCCCCTTTTGCATTGCCTAGCTACAGACTTACTTGGAACACTGAGCCGCAACACCAAGTACAGAAAAGAACAAACCGATGATATATAGGCCGACAAAGAACTTTGCTATTTTGGAGACCATCCTTGTGATGAAACAGAGTCAATGAACATATGAGCTTGGTGGGTACATGTTCCTATGTTTGTATACACACGGCAGTTCTCACTTCTTTGTAAAACTTCTTTTATCTGCATTAGTTTAAAAACTAAACACTAGCGAAGTTTTAGTATCAAATGTAAAATAAAGTACAAAAACCTCTGTCTAGAATTCCAATCAAAGTTAACAATTAACCAATCAGAACGTGTTATTAATAGCTTATGTCGTATTTTAACCACGTCGACTCCACTACAAATGCATATTTCACTTTCAGTTCCTAAAATTAAACATTGTTTTTATTTTAACAAAGGTAACCATTTTTTTTATTTCGAAACTTCAATTTCAATATAATATTTTATAACAAGTACTACAGATTATTCTATTTTAGGGAACTTTCAAAAAGAGATTTAACAGTAAAAATAATAGACTGTTATGAAAGGAATATATTCGACTTAGTATTTACATTTTTTTTAAATAGTTGTCAACTGAGGATCAGAAATAAACAAAAAATCCCACCACATTATTATTTGTGTCTTTAAACAAAATATACTTAACATCATCTGTGCACTTAAATCGTCTTTTTATAGTAGTAATATTTGCACGCAAAAGCAATAACCTATCGAGTTATGTCAAATAATAATATTATCAATCTTATCTCTTGCTAAGAGTATGACAAAATTACCTAATCAGTTGTGAGAGCTGTTTTCAGCACAGATATAGAAAAATTCTACATAAAGACAGAAACTAAACCTCACTTATATAACTTTTCTTCCTTTTCCAATGCACGCAAAATTGGATGGTTTCACGTCCTGAGCACAGTGTAAGAAAGGTTTGAGCATAATTACACATGCGCACTTCAAAAAAGGCGAAGGCAAGTTGGTAAAAGTGCGACATAGCATGACTGACGTTTCTACGTACCAAATAAAAATGAATAAATTGTCAAACAATGAAAATAAATAATATATACTATAATATCTCTTTGCCCTGTTTCAAATTTGTTTTACAAAACCATTTACAAAACTGTGTTTTTTGCGATAATTATAGATATTTTCAGTGTCATCATTGTATATGATCAATAGTCTACAAATTGTAAATATTATCAATGAAAAGTACCTAATTAATGTGGACAAGCACACACTGCTGTAAGTACCAACTTCTGTTGCATCAAGTAGGTCTACTTTCTGCTTACTTCATTTTTTGCTTCAAGCACCAACTTTTACTTGCTGCCAATATTAAATACGGTACCGCGCTGCTCTGCTACAAATACCAAAATGCGGTAACCTTGCTTGAAGCACCAAGTAAACATAGTTTAACGTGTACCAAGTACCAAGTAGCCTGCTACAACAAGTATCTGGTACCACTTAGATTGCTGCAAACCTATCAATCTGCTTGTTGGAATTTTTTAGTGCAATGTACTTGCTACACTTGCAAGTAATAACATAACAATGATGATAATGATGATGATAAATATAAAGATAAAAATAGGACTTGCATAACGCAAATAAGCTAACTTATCAAGTACTAGCTTACAACAAGCACCAGGTACTAACTTGCTTGCAGAAAGTACCAAGTACTTGCTAATATCTAATCCTTCTTCCAGTTTTAACACCAACTTCAAATGAAGGCTTCGGTGCGAACTTCTTCCGCAGATAAAATCTGAGCTGGATGGACAAGGAGAAGTGTCTAAAAACTAAGTAACATCTGAAAAGTTGGAAACGCTACACCAAAATGTATTAATCTCTAGGTGTTACCAAAAAAGATCCCCAGAAAAATCATACTTCCCATCACACACTACTCCAATGTAGAAAAAGTAACTTTACATAATCAAACACCAAGAGTTTTTTTGTTTTTTTGTTTTTGTTTTTTTTTTAAACGGCAGTAATAAGCTTCAGTAAAATAGCTTCAAAACTTGTTCCACTGGTTTAATTCATGTAGATGATGATATCGTTCACCGTTTGCAAGTATAGGCCTTATATTTAATCAGAATATTAAGATCTTCGGAGTGAAACCATACTTAGCATCTTCTGTATAAGAGTCTTCCAAGGAAGTTCGTTTGTGACCTTCACAGAGTACAATATGCAATCCCCCAGGGTTGGTGCCAGAATTTTCCCAACATGGGGTCCGATATCCCAACGGGTGGTGGGGGTGGCTCACGACGACTGCGTAAGTGGGCGTAGTCCGGCATCGCTCAAAACCTCTCAGAAATAATGACAATTTGGGGGCTTGAAATGAATTATTAATTCGAATTTAGAGTCTACTAATATGTATAGGCTCTATTTCCCGGGCCTCACTGGCGCCACCCCTCTAATCCACAGGACACCTATTATTCAGTGTGTCCACTGGTTCCCTCAAGATGGCTAGAGTTAGGCAAGCGTGATTGAGTCAACTTGTCTTTTATTTCATGTTTAAACTTGGAGGTACATATTCCTTTACTACGGTGTAAGTAGATATCTCTTCGCCATCTTCACTCCCCGCTTTGCTACATTGTTGGTGCTCCGCTTTTTCGGTTGTATACTTCAAAAATGCCTCAGACTCATTGGGTTTTGGCTTTGATCTTAACTCATCAAATGTTTCTTTTTCACATAATGGCTTGGATGTTGGCTGATCGTCAGGTATTTCCAACTTGAAAATAAGAAAATACAAAATCAAAACCAAATTGTAAGCGAGTTAATAACGAGGATTTTATAGAATTATATATTATTTAATTATATCAATTATGTTCATCATTTTTACAAGAGTAACACACATATTGTTTTCCCTGATATATATAT